TCCCAGAAAACGGTGACTTTGTCTCTTTGTCCCTGTTTAGTTTCAGCAAATCCAACTTTTTATTATTGTCTCTTTGCAGATTATGAAAGGGTTGGTGGATTATATCATCATATTGAATCGAGCCTATTAGTGTGTTACTCTCAGAAGATCACAGTAATGGGTTGTGCCTCAGGCAAAGCTTCACTGTTTTTCTTCTTAACGTGTTTTGCCTGTGTCCATGTCGCTCAGCGCTGGTACGTTTCTCCCTGCTAATAGGAAAGCGCATAAAAATCGCATAATCATTAATATTGCAGAATCATTAGGATTGATAAAAACAGCTCTGACTGAGCCGATGTTGTTTTTCATGGTCACTGCATTTTGTAAACAAGCTACATAACCGTTAGCTTTTTTTTTTTAGACCAATCTTGTAGATCTGGTGGCTGTTTGACTCCATCTACAGCTCTTCCATAGATAGTGCCAGTTAGATGATCATTTTCCAAGTCTGTCAGAGCGAATGCATTTCCAGTGATTGGCTCCAGTGCGTCTCCCCCCAGTTTTTGTTGCAGACGGCACTCGGAAGCCGGCAATCTGTAGATGTGCAATCAAGTCTGGGCTTGGGTTTCATAAAGTCAGTCATGTGCTGACTGGTTGAAAAGTGTCAAAACTACAATCTCGTAACATCACCAAAGTAAGTCAGGGTGCCTTTCTTAAAGGGAAACCAGAATGTTTAAAATAGAAATCGGTCCAAACTAAACATCTAGATCCAATCACCTGCCTTTTGGGAAACACGGTATATTGTCTGCCCAGGGGATTATTTTTTAAATAAAGGAAGACTGAGATCTCAAGGTTTGTTGCTAGCTATTCCCCATATTCACTTTTTCCCCTGCTCGCCAACTTACAGACATACCCCACGTCCTTTGAAGGTTTCTGGGTGTAATCCAACCGACGTTTCTTGTACTAAGTAGTACTATAATTAGAACCACCACTAGAGGGCACTCAAAATGTTCTGTCCCAATATGAATGCTTTATAGGACAGTTCTGACCTGGACCTGGCGTTTGTGGCTGAGACCCATTTTTAGTTTAATATAATTGATTTAAAATGTGAGAGGAAGTAGTTGAGCCAAAGCAGCAGCATCCCTCATGAAAGCTCCTGGATACAAGTCGAGTATTTGAGGCTTTGTGGTTGGGAGGGAAAGGGGAATGGTGGTACATAAGAACGGCCAGACTGGGTCAGACCAAAGGTCCATCTAGCCCAGTATCCTGTCTTCCAACAGTGGCCAATACCAGGTGCTTCAGAGCACCTGGTATTGGCCACTGTCGGAAGATCATTTCAGAACAGGTCATTAAGTGATCCATCCCCTGTCGCCCATTCCCAGCTTCTGGGAAACAGATGCTAGGGACACCATCCCTGCCCATCCTGGCTAATAGCCATTGATGGACCTGTCCTCCATGAATTTATCTAGTTCTTTTTTTGAACCCTGGAATAGTCTTGTCCTTCACAGCATCCTCTGACAAAGAGTTCCATAGGTTGACTGTGCGTTGTGTGAAGAAATGCTTCCTTTTGTTTGTTTTAAACCTACTGTCTATTAATTTCATTTGGTGACCCCTAGTTATTGTGTTATGAGAAGCAGTAAATAATACTTCCTTATCTACTTTCTCCACCCCCGTCATGATTTTATAGACCTCTATCATATCCCCCCTTAATTGTCTCTTTTCCAAGCTGAAAAGTCCCAATCTTATTAATCTCTCCCCATACGGAAGCGTTCCATACCCCTCATCATTTTTGTTTCCCCTTTCTGAACCTTTTCCAATTCCAATATATCTTTCTTGAGATGGGGTGACCACATCTGCACGCAGTATTCAAGAGAGTTGTCACCAGCAGCATCACCCTCTGCAGAAATTAACGCTGAATCTGGCCCACCCACCCCTGCTGTCCGGTTCTCTTAGGAGAGTAGGTGTCAGGATTGAGGACAGAGTTGGGAGCAATGGAGCAATGCTTGAGTGCCTCTAATCTTAATGTAAGGGCAAAGCAATAACTTCACACAGAAGTCCTACTCCAGTGGGTGTTCAGGAAAATGCAGGAAATGATGGAGAAGCTTTAATTTGCCTTTTGGGGGGCTGGGTAATGGGTAGCTTCCAAGTGAAGAGCTATGTATATTGGGTTACGAAGGAAAATGATGGCCTACAATCTCAAAGTCCAGGCACATAGGGCAGTGACCTGTGTTCTCTTTTACTTCCCCTGCTGCATTGCGTTCCGATGACTAGAAGGACTTTTAGGGACTCTTAGCCACCAGAAATGAAACTGTGTCACTGAGATCCTTTGAGAACATGTCTCTGCTGCTGTTCACAGTACTAAACTATTTAAATCACACAGATATCAGCTTACATGAGCTACAATTCCATGTATTACCATTCCACATCTCAGCACAGGATACAATGTCACTGTCTTTTGTTGAAAGTCTTCCTGTGTAGTCCCGATTACTTTATACGGAAAGTCTGACATGGATTTTTACGTGGTTGACATGGCAGATCCAAGTACTTGTGAGGGACTGTGCTTAGTCTACGTATGCTTAATTGCCCTCTGCTGGAGAAAAATGGGCACACTCATGGATAACCATTCTGTTAGTTAAGTGAGTGGAGCTGTCCCTTGAGCTCACCAGGTCTCTGTTAAGCGTCCAAGGGCTTCATTTTTAATCATGCTGCTGCCACCTAATGCCATATACCATATATTTGTAGTGGGAAACCACGAGTCATCGCATGCCACAAATGTAGGCTCAGTGTTCCACAGAGTAAACAATATATTAATATTATGTTATCTTGAGTGTCATCTTTCACAAATTAAAGTATTGTTCTTGGCCGTCACCAAGCAGTTCTCCATGGTACTCAACCCCACCTGCACCAGGGGTTCTGGTGGCCCAGCTCCAAAGTTCTGGACCTTGGTCTTCTGTCATGAGATGTTCAATCTCACAGTGGGGGTAGCGTCTTGGAGACGGTGGTGAGCGGGGCTGAAATTTTGTGACGTCTCCACAAGCAAGGCAGTGTCATTGGCATAGTCTTGGTTGGTAAACACTTCTTGACCAACCTTGATTTCGATGAGAGGAATGGCAAGTCCCAACATTCCATCAGTAGCTCGACAGAATAGTGTTGGGGGGAGAATGCATCCCTGCTCCACACCAGAGGTTATGTAGAAATGTGGCAAAAGTCACAAACCAAGGCACAATTGCGCACCAGTATCAGTGTGAAGATCATATACTAGATTTAGCAGAACATTTGGAACACCAACTCCTTTCAGTGAGAGCCAAAGTGCTGACCGTTCGACTGAGCCAAAAGCCACTTTGAGGTTGATTACATGTGCCACATGAAGCAGACTGGTTAAATCCTCTGTGCACTTCAGCCAACACAGGGGCTGGCTTCCAACAACCCCCGCTAGGCCCCCGCCCCACCTCTTCCCGCCCCCACTCCAGCCTAGGCCCTGCCACCACTTCACCTCTTCCCCCAAGCCCACGCCCGTCTCTTCCTGCTCCGCCTCAGACCCACCTCTTCTAGCCCAGTTCTGCCCCCTCCCCGGAGTGTGCCCCATCCCCTCTCCTCCTCCCTCCCTCCCAGTGCCTCCTGCATGCCGCGGAACAGCTGATCTGCGGTGGGAAAGAGGCACTGGGGGGAAAGGGAGGGGAGCTTGGCTGCCGATGGGTGCTAAGCACATGCTATGTCAGCCAGAATCCAAAGGGTAAGTCCAGCGTCCATTGTTGACCGTCCTGCCGTGAAACCTGACTGCTGCGGACGACAATGTCTGTGAAGGAGCAGCTGAATCCTACCAAGCAGAACATGAACAAAGACCTTTCAGAGTAACAGCCGTGTTAGTCTGTATCCGCAAAAAGAAGAACAGGAGTACTTGTGGCACCTTAGAGACTAACAAATTTATTAGAGCATAAGCTTTCGTGGACTACAGCCCACTTCTTCGGATGCATATAGAATGGAACATATATTGAGGAGATATATATACACACATAAAGACCTTTCAGGGACCAAAAACAATGAGATTGGCCTGTAGTTGCCACACATAGTGCAAGATCCTCTGCCATTGTACAGGGACACTATGATGCCACCTGGCCTCCCTTCAGTCATTCATTTTATTGCGTTGCATGCTCTTCAGCCGTGTTGCCAGGATGGACAAAAACACCCCCGCACACTGTGCTCTCAAACTCACAAGAAGGGGTGCATGCCCTGGCCCTACCTGGTGGATTTGCAGGATTGATCCAGATCTAGGAACATCACCACATGATGTCTGTTGCAATGTCATCAACCGTGGTCACTCTGGCTAGCACAATGGTCCCTAGTAGACTATGCATGTTTGATGATGAACTCACTGGGGAGCTGGGCAACCCTGTTTCGGAACCAGATTAGACAGAGACTGCAGTTTGGGTACGTAGCCAAGTCAGGGCAAGGCTTTGCATCTGATGGGTTGAAATGTCACAAGCTGTTCTGATTTCAGGCACGTTCCAGAACTGGAGAATAAGGCCAAGATTTGCAGACGTGACTAGTGATTTTGGATGCCCAACTTGGGGCCCATTTTTCAGAAAGTGCTGAGCATCCGCCTTCTGAAAATCAGGCCCCTTTTAAAGATCCCAAACTCACTAGTTCTGTTTGAAAATCTTTGGGCCAAGCTCCTTTCACAGCCTCTGTCCATTTAATTCAGGTCCAGATGCCAAGCGGAACATTCCCAAAGTTCAGCAGAGTTCCCACCTGAAGTTCTGGTCTGGGCTGTGTCTAGTATACAGCCATGTACTGTTGCAGTTCTTTACTTAATCTCAACAATTGCTCTCATCCTATCCTAACATGCTATTGTTTTACCCCATTGTTAAAGATGGAAACGGAGGGAGCGTCTTAAAAGGTGGACACCTTCCCCAATGTGCACAGTCGCCTTTTGTGTTAAAGGGTGAAATGAAAATGAACCTGATCAGATATCCAAAAATGAAAGGTGTATAAGATTTAAACAAGTTGTTCTTTGTTTGCCAATACAGGGGGCCTTCGAGGGGCTACCATAGTGGATGCCTTAGATACTCTGTACATCATGGAGCTTGGGGAGGAATTCCAAGAAGCGAAAAGCTGGGTGGAGAAGAGCTTTGACTTGAATGTGGTGAGTCAGTAATGGAAAACGTCAGTCTGTGCTGCAAAAATGCCTGGTACATCCCTTGGTGTGTCCTAGTAACAGCATTTGGATCCAGGGGTATTCTGCTAGGACAGTCTGCGAAGGGGAAAAATATAGTTTGCAAGGGCCAATGAGTCAGATTCATAAATTGCAAGGCCAGAAGGGAACATTGTGATCTAACTAACCCTCTGCATAGCACAGAGCACAGAATTCCACCCAGTGAGTCCTGCATCCATCCTTCATTCCTGAGGGCTTCAGTAGAATTAGCCCGAACAGGGTGTCATGCTCTTTCTGTTAGAAAATTACCATTTTTAGAAACTCCAAGGAAGTTTGATCAGTGTAAACAGGAACCCTCCAGCATATGTCCCCCAGATTGAACTCCCCCATGATATCCGTTTTTCTTTCTGTATATTATAGACTGATCACCCTGCTCTTATGGAGGGAATTTTTGACACCCCTCCTTACAAATTATTGATCAGTACATCTGTGTGTTATGCAAAGGCAGCACAGGACCCCAAAGCTAACGAGAAGGGGGGGGAAGGGACAATTGTGCCAGGGCCCTAAGTTCCGGGGCACCCCCAAATGTCTGTAACATCTGTGTAAATAGAGGGAAAGGGGTGGGGCCCCAAATTTCTCTCGACGGGCCTGACTCCAACCACAGTGCTGGGACACTAGAGAAGTATGAAAAATGAAGAGCTCCGGCTACAGAATGGCCAGCACTCCTTCCTGTATGTTCCTTGAAGGGCTCCCATCTACATACAGAGTCGTTCTTCACTTGCGAGATGGGACCACAGCCTGACGTGGTGGTCTATGGAGGCCATTAAACTCAAAATGCCATTAAAATTTTAATTTCCTTCTGTCTGCCCTAGTTAGTACATGGGGAAAAATGGTTCTCCCCATGTGAAAAATGAATGCAGCTGCCTTTTTAGAAAAGTATCATTTGGGAATGGATGGCCGTCGCGGATTCATAATAGGAAGATCACATCTGATAAATTAGGTTGAATGCTTTTAAGTATGTTACTGAATCGATAAACAAGGGACAAAATCAATGGGGAGATAATTTATCTGGATTTGACAAAAGCTTTTACTCCTGGCCCACACAATAGATTGATCGGCAAAGACTAAAATGAATGTTATAGATTGATCACTGATGTCAGACGTGCAGTGCAGAGAGAGAAGGGTTGAAATTAATTAAAAATTGGCTTTGAGAGAAGAAGCTGACCTAGTCAGGCAGGGGTGGGACGGTGGCCTTGACTGGAGAGGGGAATCCAGTGCGAGGCTGAAGAGAGAAATGATTAGGAAGGAGAGGGTGTCATTTCAAAAGCAGCCACATTTGCTGCTGAGATAATTTGCCAGCATGGGGAGTAAAAACAGTTTCAGAGCTACAGAGCAAACAGAGGAAGGTCTATTATCATCTGTCAGCAACATGTCACTCCAGGGCTGTTCGTTCCACTGGCTGCCCATTAAACACAGTAACACTGGAGGGACTGGTCTTGCCTTTTAAAGCGGGCTGGATCCAAACTCTCTGACAGGCGGCCCCTCCCTCTGCAACCAAGGTCCCCCCAGGAGAGCTGCTGTCTTCAGGGATGGTGGAACTCTCAGCAACTAGATTGAGGGGAGGGGTGGGGCCTGACTCAGGCAACGGGGAAAAAGAGACAGTTCAGGTCTGTGGCAGAGCAGCCGTTTGGATTTACTGACTAATGGCAAGTGTGGTGTAGATACCTAGACAGACCATTGACTATGTGGGAAGTGCAAGTTAGCTTAGAGAAGTGTGAGACAGTGAGGCTGAGGGACAAAACTTATCACCCGACTCTAAAGGGAATGCAGCACGGATGACTGTGTTAACCAGCATCTGTCTGTGTATACAGCAGTGCTCCATGATCCTGATTAATTTATAGCTTAAGAACTAGTGCCCAGCAAACAAATCATTAGTTGCTAATTGCTGCTATGTTAGGTCCACTGATTTTATTTCCCAACCTGGATCTTTTGCTTTCTCTCCTCCTTCCAGTCCAGCCTTTTCCAGGTTCTCCCTCTCTCTCCCCCTTTATAATAATGTCACTTCCTACGTGATCTTGAGCTGCTTCCTCTGGCTTTTGCCTCCCTCTCTGGATGGCAAATTGTGTCTCAGATCCTTCCAGCCTTCCCTGGGAGAAGACATCTGTTTGCATGTGTAATCCAGTAGGATTGTTGGAAGGGACAGGTGAATGCAGTGGGTAAAGAATTCCTCCCTCTCTATCCCATTCGCTGAAATTGCTGCACTCTTGCGAGAGCCTCCTGTTGGTAGTTTTATGTGTTTATTTGAGGGGAAAGAATAATTTGCCTGGCAGGTTCACAGTCCAGGAGCACAGTTTAAAAAGCACAGTTTGAAAGCAATTGCTTTGACATTTGCTGATCGGGAGTTGGAATAAAATAGATCTTAACTAGTTCCAGGTGAGTGGCTTCCTGAGAGGTTCAGTGAACCACATCACTGCCTGTTCACCATCTCCCAGCAGGGCACGTGGGCACTGGTTTGTTTGTCTCCCACTCAGTGTGGCAGCAGCTGTGCCACCCTGGGCTGTGGTCCTGTCAGGTTTTACAAACTAAGTAGGGTTAAGCATGGTAAGTCCTTGAATGGGAGACCTCCAGAGAACATCTGGACACTCCAGGAAGTTGTTGTGGTGATGCACAAGGTGGCACTCTCCCCACTGAGTCAGTGCTGAAGAAATGCTCCCGTATGGAGCAAGAAAGCTCAGGACAGGAGGGTGCCATCTTTTGGCTATTAAAAACAGTCCTGACTTCTTGTGGTCTCTCAAAATCCCTCTGCCCTTCTTTTAAGAATAGAGATGTTAACTCCAACGTCCTGATGAGCTTTCAACTTAGGTATCTGTTTTCTGCCTACCTACATTGCCTTTGCACTTTCAACTGGAGAAAGTATAATTTCTCACGTTTTCTTTCGTAACCTGTTGTGTAGTGTTTCACTGCTATTGAACAGCTGCTGCGTTCTACCCAGAAACCATTTCAGTGGTGGCAAAGTGATCCCTGTAGCTCACTTACCTACCTCCTAGAGGGTTGTGAAGCTTCATGTATAAAGCTCTTTGAGATCCTAGATGAAAGATGCTATAAAAGGCAAAGTGTTATTAAACTGTGAATAAGGATTGCAGAGTTTTGTGAATGTCCCGAGAATTATTCCAAGGCACTCTCACTGGCCCTATATCTGCATGGGTGCTATAAAGCTTCACTTGTACCTTCCAGTGACTATCTGATGATGATCTTTTCAGAATGGAGAAGCTTCCTTGTTCGAAGTGAACATTCGTTATGTCGGAGGGCTGTTGACGACGTACTATCTAACCGGTGAAGAGGTTTGTTTCTACACATCCTGTGTATCCCTCGCGGTCTCAAATAATGAAAGTGCAGGTGTATTTCTGAATAGGCTGGCTCCCAGCGGCGCTCCACTGAACATCAAATAATCCCCCTGTAAGAAGAGGCTAAACCTGTTTTTTATGAATATTGAACTCCCACTAACAGTCTTTTAATTAAGTCTCACACAATTACCTTATGCTTGCCATGCCTGGCTCATCTATAAAGATCTTTTCTCCAACGGACAATTTTAGCAAGATCGTTTTTCAGCTTGGTACATTGGTCCCCACTGAAATGCATTTGCAGTGATCTTTGCCTGTCCCTCAGTTCTTGTTACTTTGTAGCCTAAATATAGGCAGTAGCGCAAGCTTTGGGGTCACTCCAAGTAGCCCTGCACGCTAAATGTTAGCTTATTAGTGGCAGCTATTTGTGAAAACCCCAAATTGTTGTTATATTTTTTGTGTAGCAAAAATGTGCACTGATAAAGCAGGGGGCCCGGTTGTGGCTAATGTCATCCATGTGCAAGGAGCCTTTCTTTAGTGTGCAAGTATCACGCACTGGTGAGTGTGTGTTACAAGCCCCCCTCTGTGCCACTCTGCAGTGGATACGAGTCTGTTACAACCCCCAGCTCCGGAGGTTCCCGATTCAATCCCCATGTGTGAACCCATACGTGGGGATTCATCCGGGATTTGAGCCACCCGCTTCCTTTGAGAAGAGGAAGTGTCTGATGTGACAACCACCCCCATGGCCAGCACACTGGGGATCGAGCCAGAGATCTGCCTGAGTTGCAACAGCTTGAGCTGAAGAGCTGTGGCTTTGTAGGTGGGGGTGGTAACAACTCATATCCTATGTGGATCAGCACAGAGGGGGATTTGTAACACACGCTCACCACAGGGTTACACAAGGACTGATCCAAGCAAGTACGTCTGGTAGAACTGCCCCAACCCCTGGTTTCCCCGCTCAGCCAGCAGAGGGGGGTGGAGCAGCGTTCCAATGAGCACTAGGCCCGCAACGAATTCTGGCTAAATCAGAAGGTTCCCACTGAAAACACTGCTCCCTCCTTCTCCCTCCTACCCCTTCCAAATGCAGGCCATAGCTGAACACATAATCTGTCTCATAATGTAGCTGTGCTGGAATTTTAAAACCAGATGTGAGGCGATCAAGAGATTACTCCTCTACCCTGAATATCTCCGGCAGACAGAAGGCCTGATCCCACTGATCTCAATGGGAGTTCTGCTGGCATACGGCTGCAGGATTGGGCCTTAAGCAACGAGTAAATAACCTTTTCAAGAAACTCCCATATTGCTACAGGCCGGCTTCTGCTGGAGGGAGCTGCCCATGATAGAAGGAAATGACTAGTCTTTGCATTGTGATGCCATCGATTTGTGGAGGCCTAGGAGAAGCTCCATAATTAAGGCTGTATTTTGGATGAGATACAGGAATTTGTTCCTCCTGGGATTTCCCAGCTGGGAAAGCTCTCAAAGACCCAGTGCCCCATGCTGCAGCCCTTCATGCTCACAGCTTCCATTGACTTCAACTTGACAGAGAAGGAAGCGAGCCCCCAAAACCATAAAGCCTGGGCAGCAAGCTAGAGAGTGAACTTAGCAAACAGGTCAGTGTCTGTCCTGTATCGGTTCAGTGCCTCCCCCCTCGATAATCTAGTCACTTTCTCATGGCTTTCCCTTCTGAACCAGATCCCTCTACCTTCCTCTGCTGTGACAAAGGCCTCAGAGCCCATGGACAAGCTCGGGTTTCCTCAGTGCTGCATTTCTCAGAGCAATCATTTCCTGCTTTCTTAAAACTGTTATGACAGCTTGGACTGAAATGGGGAGGTTAGAGGTAAAAGGCTTGTGCTTGATCTCTTGTCACTTACAGGCTTCTCTTGCTCAAGACTAATCTCTTGAGCGCAGATTATTGCTTGTATCAGTTTGTCCCAAAATAAGTGTGTCTGGTGGCTTTGTGCGGCAAGCCCCCATAAACTATTATTTGATTAGAGTAATAAAACTCAGAAATTAGGAATTGAAAGGGTGATAATTTAGCCATGACAGGCCACGGATCCTCTCTGGAAATTTAGTGGTGCATAAAGGAGTGTCTGTGTATGTATGTATGTGTGTATAAAATATGTGTACTTGAAATTAGAAGTCGTGTGAGCTATCAACAACCTGCTTTGTAAACCATGGCATGCTTCATCCTTAGAAATCTCCTTTAATTTTGATGTCTTCATTTCTGTTTCCCCCACTGCCCCATAACAAGTTCTTAAAAGGGGACCCTTTCTCCCCAAAGGCATGCTTTGCAGGATCAACTCAAATCAGCCCAGGAAGGCATGTTCTTGTAACAATACTCTGAGCAAAGCTACCAGCCAACTGCCCATCATTGCTGTTAGAGCAGCCAGCAGCAATAGAAGTGGAGACCTTTGTCCCAAGAAACTGGTCTTTGCTCAGTAGGTTAAAGGAGCAGTTCCAGGAGCTTAGGGAATGGAGATCTGTGCCACGTGGGCAGATCTCACGTTTTAGCACAGAAAGATACAGATGCGTAATCCAGTTTATCTACTATTCCCCCAGCTAATGCAGAACTTGACTTCAAGTTCCAAGGGAAAGTACTTAGAAGGTTTCAGAGATTCAGCAATGGGTGGCTGTATGTATACAGACACGAAGATCTCCAGGCAATGGGAAGCATACAGCTTTGAGAGTGGTTAGAACTGCAGAACTAGGACAATGAAACCCCAAGTCCAAGCTGAGCTCACTTAATGAGCCTGGGATGATCTCTGGTTTCATGAGGAAGCCATGGAAAACATGGTGGGTTTGTCCCGTAATAGGGCAAAACTTGGCAGTTCTGGCTGTTTAACTTTGAATTTCTGGGTTCAAAGTAAAACTCACAAGGAGTGTGTCCACCAGAACCAAGGGAAAAGGGTTCACGCAAACCCCAGTGCCCTGAAACTGCCAAATGTCCTAATGCCAGTTCTATTCCAACTGGGAACTTTCAAACTCATTAACCCAGGACTCTGCATCAGAAGTTAACGGAACTGATCCTTGAACTTGGTTAGAAAGGGAGATCTCCTCTACTGTAACATGAGCCAACGCCGCAAAGCTCACATCCAGATCCAAAGTTTGAGGCCTGTTGGGATCCAGGATTTTAGACTGGTCTGTTGTGGATCTCCAGGGGCCATCCATAAATTCTGGTTCAGATCAAAACTTCCTCATGGGGTTTGGTTCAGCCCCATCCCAATATGTAGGTGTAGGGCTACCCCACTATCTGGAAATGAAAGCCCTGTAATGTCCCATTATTCTTACCCGCTTTATAACTATGTGTGTCTGGGTGTGTATGGAAAAGTGAAGTGTAAGAAAACCAACGTGACTGATACTAGCAAGCAATACATTGTACATTTTAACTCTCTTTTCCTTTTTTTTTGTCTAACAGGTATTCAAGAACAAAGCTCTAGAACTTGGAGAGAAACTTCTACCAGCCTTTAACACCCCGACTGGTATCCCCCGGGGCGTCATAAATCTGGGCAGGCAAGACAACACCTCATTACTTTCCCATCATTAGCAGTGGGTCTTATTTATGTGCTGAATACTTGTAAAGGAGTAACAACTGTTCCTAAGGGGCATTTTGCCTCTAAGAACATAAGAGCTGCTGTACTGGGTCAGACCATGGTCCATTTTGCCCAGGATCCTGTCTCCAACAGTGTGGCCAGAGCTTCAGGAGAACTGTATAGAACAGGGCGATTATGGAGTGATCCATCCTTTTCTTCCACATCCAACCTCTAGTAATTAGAGATTTAGGGTTGCCCTGAGCATGGGGTTGTGCCCCTGACCATCTTAGCTAATGCCGTTGATGGACCCATTCTCCATGAACTTACTCATTTTTATTTAACCCAGTTATTCTTTTAGCATCTTTCTGTAGCATCTCCCCTCCTGACTCTTGGAGGATATTCGTTTTGGCAACTCAAACTTCAGGAGGCATCTTGGCAGGAATCAAGGGCGACTCACATTAAATCCAGCTGTGTTTTATTAATTTTTAAGCAGTCCACATTTTCTTCCTTCACTTCCTGGCAGAGCTGCCCCATGGGAATAGGATGTTCCCACTCACATTTGCCTTTGAATTTTATTGGTGGGCTTGCATTTAGAACTCCGCTTGCTCTGCACATTTTTGCAGTGTGCCAAGCTAGATGCATGATGGTACTTTTTTGGATCTGTACAAGCTCCAGGCATGGGAGCTGAGAAATAGACTGTGGCAAATGACAGTTTTGTATCCAAATGTGTATGAATGGCCGTAGTCCATGTAGTTTTCTGCCTGCCTAGACTCCACAACATGCATGTCATTCACTTAGGCGACATCTACACTTAAACTGCTTCAGTGGCACAGCTGCAGTGCTTCAGTGTAGAAACTCACCACAAAGACAGGAGGGGCTCTCCCGTGGCTGTAGCTAATCCACCTCCCCAAGGGACAGTAGCTAGGCTGATAGAAGAATTCTTCCATTGAACTAGCACTGTCTACGCTGGAGGAGATTGGCATAGCCCATGTCTTGGGGGTGGAAGGGAAGGGATTTTTCACACCCCTGAGAGACACAGCTGTGCCGATGCAAGTTTTCAGTGTAGACCTGACCTTAGTGCTACAACACTGCCTGTGAGGTATGTGACATAAAGCGGGGAGCTGAGGCAGGTAGGTTAAATAACTTGCCCATGGTCACTTAGTGGAAGAGACAAGAGTAAACCCAAGAGTATTGATTCCCCGTCCCCAGTTCTAAATACTACACAGCACTTCCTGCCCAACAGGACTTGTTGGTTCATTTTGATGCCAACTAGCTGAAGTCCCTGGGATTTTAAAAACTGCACACAGGCTGAAGCACAGAGAGTAGGAAACATGAGTTAACAAAAAAATGTTCATCCTCCCCTCCACAACACTCAGAGCAGCAGCCCGGGAAGTTTTACCCCACATCTGCCATTGGGTTCCTTTCCCTGTAAAGTGCAAGATTTCATTGAACATGTAACACGGAGTGATCCATTGCTCAAATGTCACTGTCACCCTCTGCTTAACTCTACACACAATGAAAACTTTGAACGTCTCCACCATCTTAATTGTATCCTTCCAGGAATGACATTCTGCATCGTAGCTTGATGATAAAGTCTCATGTGGTGCCTCTTTCTCAATACAAGCACAAGCACAGGCTAACCTTTTGCAGAAATGCCATACCTCTCGCTACCCTTTGTAAAGACAATCAAGATGACAGAGTGTATCTGCCCAGATATCCTGAAATATCTTGCCGATGACCTTGGCTAATACTGAAGAAAATCAAAATAGCCGTAGGCTTCCTAAAACTAAGAATCTGCATTACTGGCTAGAGCTCTGAGAAGAGCATTGAAACTGGTTAGGGGGCCAGCACTAACGATGTAGGAGCAAAGATGAAAAAAGCTAAATGTATGTAGCGTGGCTATGGTGGGAACGTAACGAACAGCCTGCACTTGAAAGGTGAAACCTCCCCAGAATGAGAGGAGTTGTTCAGTGTGATACAGTACATGGAGCTGTAAGTAGGAGCAGTGGGATGACCTTGAAAGAAGGGCTATTTAGTCTGAATATCGGGACAAACTTCCTACCAGTCAGATGCCAAAACCAACAGAAGGTTTTTCCTAACTAAAGCCCAGTCTCTCAACCCTTTCATTTCTACTTTTGCAACCAGGATCTGATAACTCACAGAAACCCAACAGGGTCCAGGCCCGATGAAGTTTCACAAACTCTTTTTTGGAATGTTCTTTACTGAAGTTTTGAGCACAACAAATATAAGACCTGGCATAAGGCCAGGTCAATGTAAAGGTTCTAATGAAGTGAAGAGAGAGATCATGCTGCTTCTGTTCCGATGGGCACTACTGCCTTTTCTCCTCCACTCACTTCAGTGCCACCTCCTGCCCTTGCACTCTTGAATTCTGCAGTGGGTCTGCCCATTCCTTGTGCCATCAAGAATGCTCTGTCCAAGGTCCTAGAACATGCTGTTCATTCCAGCGGTCTACACGTCCTCTTCTGCACCATCTTTGATCTAATGCAGTCTGCCTCCACATTCTGTTCCAGAAAAATTATTGTCCAGAGTTACTAATGGCCTTCTTCTCTCTAAGGTCAAGGAGAGGTTCTTGATAGCTCTGCTTTTGACACAGTTGATCACCCTTTCTTTAGCTTTTTCTCCTTTCTTTGCCTTCATAACTCTGCTCTCCTTATTCTCCTCCCACCTTGCTGGATGCTCCTTCAGCATCTCCTTTGGGTGCTGATCACTCTTCCCTTGTCTGTTGAGATCCCTCAGGTTCTGTGCTCATTATCCCTCCCCCCCCCCTTCTAGCGTCATTTCTCTCTTAGAGATCTCATCCATTTCCACGGGTTTCTCTACATAGACCATTCCCATAACTTGCTCTCTAGTGCCAACCTCTCCCTTTCTGTCTCTAATGTCTCCCCCTGGATGTTCCTCCATAATGTCAAGCTCACTCTTTCTGATACTGAACTTCCAGATCCCTCTCCTACGCTCCTCCTTCTCTATTATTAACAACTTCCACCATCTTTCCCATGTCCCAGGTTTGTCACCTCAGTGCAGTCTTCAGTTCTTCTCTTTCCTTTCCCCCCCCATTATCAGACCCTTCCTAAATCCTGCAACTCCTACCTCTTCAATAGCACCCAAATCCATCCTTTCATCACTATTCCCACCATTTTGAAACCCAGGCCCATGCCTTGATCGTCTCGATTATTGGAATATTCTCCTTTCTGGCCCTCCATCCTTCCCTTCTCCCCCCTCAAGTGAGTCCCCACACTCCCTCCAATCCCCTTTCCTTATTGATCCCTTGGTCTCTTTTTTTTGCAATCCAGACTTCCTGCTTTGTCTTCTGCTGCCTTCTGGGCTTTTCCTGTTTCCTGCCTGCCAGACGCCAATCCCCCCTTCACCTCTGTGCTCAAACCCACTGCTTCCAAAACCCCATCCTTCCCTCTAAGCAATAATCTCTCTAAGTGATTAGCCTGTATCTTGACTTGTGTGTTTGTTTCTTTCCTACTTTGGCATTTTGGGGGCAAGGGCTGTGTCTTAGTCTCTGTTTGCAAAGCTCTGTGGAAATGCCCAGCTCGATACTAAAAGACTTTTGATCATTATTAAATACCAGTATGTGTTTTTTGGAATAAGGTTACTATTAGAGCTGCATGTCTTCCCTTACCTTAAAGGCTAGTGTCATCATCAAGTCTTTGGAAGGAATGTTTCTCGGCTGTTAGGAGAGAAGCTAACGAGGAAGAACAAGTCCATTTGAGCTCTAGTGCTAGAACATGCTTTCTGCAGAGTGCCACTTCCTGCTTGTCTTCAATCCAGAGGGCTGGCGAAGGTGGAGTCTGTTTCTATATGATGGTGCTTCTTCGTTGATCAACAAACCTCTCCCTAGGTCCTACTTCGAATCCTTGGTGGACCAACCCTTAGCAGCCTTTCAGCCAACGGTCTACACAAAGCATTTGGGATGGAGATTTTCAGGGCTATTTGTTTCAACTCCTGTCAGCTAGGAGTACTTCTGTCATAACCAGCACAGTCTTTAGCCTTGTCCAGTTGATTCAGAACATATCTAGTTTGAAGCAGCTGTCCCATAGCTCAGTGTTTTGAGCATTGGCCTGCTAAACCCGGGGTTGTGAGTTCAATCCTTGAGGGGGCCACTTGGGGATCTGGGGCAAAATCAGTACTTGGTCCTGCTAGTGAAGGCAGGGGGCTGGACTCGATGACCTTTCAAGGTCCCTTCCAGTTCTAGGAGATGGGATATCTCCATTAATTATTATTATTAGGTTAACTGCACCTGTGTTCCTCTTACTGGTCCACCAAAGACACCCACTCTCAACCTTTCTCAGTTGTCACCTGTCTTAGGTGGAGACATGCATCTCACTCTCTCCGGACCAGGGTATTTCTAGGCTGCACGACCCCCTGCCTACACTGTTATTTCCCCACTAAGCCTGACAGCCAAAATGGCCAGCGGCCAAACTTTGCGTTCTCCTCCAAGCCTATGAACAGTGTAATTGCCCACAGTTGTAAGGTACCACGCAGCTTTTCCTAGGCAAGCACGTTTATTCTTAAGGTGAAAAGCATTCCAGAGAAAACATATTAAAACAATAAAAGAATCTAAAAACATGCTAATAAGCTGACCAGAGATCATTTCCATCCCCAACAAGGACTCTGGTTGGAGTCAGTCGTTCAGCCACACACAGAGGTTTTCTTGTGGTGACGAGTTCATAACACCTTTTGCTCAGAACAAGAACCCCCATGAACAAGTTGGCCTGTCTTTTATATAGCGAGGGTCTTTGCTCTTGAGATTCCGGGAGCAGCTGGTCAGCAGACAATGGACCTTTCCCCAGGGCGTAGCTTCAAAAGGCTGGGGCTTTGCAGAACTGGAGATGGGGGGGCTACATTTGCGTTCACCTCCCTCAAGAGATTTCCTAACAAACCCATTTAACCAAATGTTCATTCTTGTAGTGCACATTGTTTAAAAAAGTCCTTTGAAGCTCACAGCACATCCCAGCCTTTCACTAGCTATCTCCCTCCTGGAAACATTACCTACAATCCCAAAATAATACATAAATATCTGCATTTTGAATACAATGAGGAACTTAAACTTCATTCGGTAAGGTTTGTGCAGAAAGTTGCCCTATCTGTCACAGCGGCTTATTAGGTGATTTCTGTTTGTGAGATCGTATTTTCCTATTTTTTCAATGCAGCAGTTAAAGAAAATATGATGATTAGGGTCCTAGTGGACAGATAAAGGAACACCCATGAGATCATTTAGTAGTGCATCCATCCAACACCAGGATATAGTCTTGTATGGTAGATATAGCCGATATTAAACTAATCCTGCATTTAACCTCACTCAAAATGAGCTGGCATTTACTGTACCCTTCCTCCAAATATGGACAGTGGGATTCCTGCTGCTGAAATACAATCACTTTTGGAACAGCTGTTCTAACTGCACACAGCAAAGTTTGCAGCCAGTTTCGGACAGAAAGAGAAGAATACTCTATCAGTTTAAATTACAGGAGGAATAGGCTGTCTGCTGAAAGGTTTGCTGCTTTTCTCTGGAGGCATAAGGAATAATTCAGCTCCTAAAAATGTTTTCTGCATTTCTCAGACAAGAGTAACATTTTTCTGGCGAAAGGTCATTAGTTTTAGCCTTTGATCGAGAGCAGAAATCCTTATCTTCTGATATAGAAGCCTTCAGGCGCCATCTAGTGTTTTCCCTCAGTTTCAGCGATGGTTCTGGGTACCCTAAAAAAGGAAGGCTCGTGATCGGAAATACGTAATATTGTCAATATCTACCAAGAATCGTGGTAACTGAGAGCTCAAGCCTGCATCATTGCTGGAAAGAGAACCGCTGAGCTTCCCTGGCCCACCAGCTGCAGAGCTATTTTGGGATCAGTCCCTCAAGCTATAGGTCACTTTTCCTGTCTGTGTAGATTTGTGAGAGACAGAATCGCTGCAGAGAGCTGTAATTTATAGCAGTGGGTTGGGGCAGGGAAAGGGTCAAGTAAAGAGTGAGTGAGAACGTTAGTGATCAGAAAGCTCCCCCTTTGGCGATCCATTTCCACCCAGTGCGAGCCCTTATCACCACAGGACCCCTACGTGTATGCACTGCTGTTTACCATTAGGACACTCTCCCCATTTACTCACACCGTGCTGATGCAGTAACGGAGATGGGGATTTTTTCCTTTCTGCCCGGAGTTGGCAGAACTGGAGATTAGCATAAAGAATAGTGGCTTGTGGGAGGAGGGAGAGGGGAAGGATCTGGTGAGAGTAGATCCAAACAAACAACCAAACAAGTGTGTAACAATCAGCTTTATACAGTGTCTGCTAGCTTTCCGTGGGTGTATCTGGCCCTCCGTTCTTTGCAGTAAGATGAGGCCCAGGAAGTCATGGTATCTCAGAGTAGAACATTGGGCTGCATGGATATTAGAACCCAGGATGTTTTTTGTACGTGTCACGTCTGTCCCAGTGCCTGTGGGCGTTTCCTCTTCCCATGCGTTGTGCAGCGCTGTGTGCTGATTTGGTTGCTGCCCCACCCACCCATGCACTCACCCAATGGGCTAACAGCATTTTGGGCTGTATGAGTAGGGGCATTGCCAGCAGATCGAGGGACGCGATCATTCTCCTCTATTCGACGTTGGTGAGGCCTCATCTGGAGTACTGTGTCCAGTTTTGGGCCCCGCACTACAAGAAGGATGTGGAAAAATTGGAAAGAATCCAGCGGAGGGTAACAAAAATGATTAGGGGGCTGGAGCACATGACTTAGGAGGAGAGGCTGAGGAAACTGGGATTGTTTAGTCTGCAGAAGAGAAGAATGAGGGGGGATTTGAAAGCGGCTTTCAGCTACCTGAAAGGGGTTTCCAAAGAGGATGGATCTAGACTGTTCTCAGTGGTACCAGATGACAGAACAAGAAACAATGGTCTCTAGTTGCAGTGGGGAAGGTTTAGGTTGGATATTAGGACAAACTTTTTCACTAGGAGGGTGGTGAAGCACTGGAATGGGTTACCTAGGGAGGTGGTGGAATCTTCTTCCTTAGAGGTTTTTAAGGTCAGGCTTGACAAAGCCCTGGCTGGGATGATTTAGTTGGGGATTGGTCCTTCTTTGAGCAGGGGGTTGGACTAGAATACCTCCTGAGGTCCCTTCCAACCCTGAGATTCTATGATTCTATGGTGTTAAATGTAGAGGCATACAAAGCATGTGAGGATGCTTTTGGGGCAAGGTGCTGTATAACTGCAGATTAGAGGTAGTGCTGCACCTCAAAACTAGGCTTTCAAGCCTTCTGAACTTCCAGGAATCTGGGGTTTTGGATTAGCCCATTGTAGGAATGAGCCATCTGGGAAACCTCCGTTCTCCCTCTGTGCCTTCCCGCCAATGCAGCACTTGTGTGAGTTTGCATCAAGGGGCTGGTTCAAGCCCATCTCTGTATAGGAGATTGTGGTTATTTGAGATTGCCTTGTCCAGTGGACCTGCTCAGCCGGCTTATTTGCTTTGGGCCAAACCACCCCTATAAAGCTAAGAACTCTTTGGTGTCACTAATTGTTCGACCCACAAGGTCCCTGTAAACCTGCGAATGTCCTTGAGCCATATTGGTTAAAAGCAAAATTCTCCACACCATTGGCATCTAGTAGGGGTTTCACACTGCAGAGCGAATGCAGGATCTGCCCAGGGGATACGGAGGGAGAGCTTTGCCCTGGGCTTGTAGAGAAACCTGCTGTGTTTGCTTGGTCATGAAGGCTCCCTATTTTGTCCTCACAGTGGCATGAGCTGGAGTTGGGGCTGGGCCTCTGCAGGAAGCAGTATCTTGGCAGAATTTGGCACCCTGCATTTAGAATTCCTGCACCTCACGGAGCTCTCCGGAAACCCAGTGTTTACAGAAAAGGCAAGTACTTAACTACTCATTCTTTAGTGAAATAATTCTTATGTACCCGTCACCCTGGCATCTGGGCTTATGATATAAAGTAGCATGTTACATGCAGCCACCCAGAGCAGCCAGTGCAGCCAGCCATTCTTGCTCTACCACCCCAGCTCACCAGAAGAGAAACCTTTCTGGTGACGATCCAGAGACAGACACATGACCATAAATATGTGCCTTGCGGGCTGGGGAGGTCACTAACGGGATCTGGCAGCCAGGGACTCTCCCCTGCAAATGCCTGGCCTCCAGCCTGTCAGCACAAGCACTTCAGCTGATCCCAGCCTCCAGTGGCAGAATTCCAGATGCCGTGCTGACTGTCCCACTGTAGGGTCCTTATTTCTTTACATCAAGTCAGTGTATCATGTGAGAGAATTTACTGAATAACTCGTGTACGCACCACGCCGATGAGTCTAATGACTCCTTCTGTGATGGAGTCTGGAGCACTGATTATATTTTTTAAGGACTGAGTTTCATATCTATGCACCAGTCTTGTGCATTGACCACACTCTTACCTGTCTGAGGTTCTGGTGCTCCACTTGGGGTTGGAAGACTCCTAAGATTTTTTTTTCTATTTACATTTTTTTTTGGCCCTTCCACATTCCTGCTTCCTGCAGTGGTGATGACTGGCAGATGCCTTCATTTCTGTGTGCCTCGGTCTTAGTAAGTTGAGGCAAAAAGCTAGTCCTAAATACAGAGGCACAGGCTATATTAACCTGTCTGGTGCATCCCACAACAATAATGGTTAATAACTCTGGTATGTTAATATTAACGCACTGCAGCCGTGGAGAATTGCTACTCTAAACTGACTTTAAATGCAATGCTCCAGCCCTCAGGATTTTCGCAAAGGTCTCTTATGTGGGAAAGGTCTGACAGCTGACACATCGGATTCCTTTTGTAACTTCTAAATTTAAAATCTATGAATATTACATGTTACCTTGAGGTTGTTTTTTCAAGTGATCTTATAGTGCATGTGAGAGCAACTTAATATACTGTAGGATACTAGCTATCATTAGCTTTCCCCACATGTTCCCCGAGGAACTCACTCTGAGGGAGACAAATCACTCCAATTAGAATCAGAACCTCCCCTGTGAGTCTGATGAAAATGGATCACACCCAGAGTACCAGCGTGTGGTGAAAATACTTAGATTGTTCTCCCTGTATTTCCAGGTAAATAGCTTGAGTACAGATTGTTCACAGGATGTTTTCAGTGCTAGCCTGCCACCCTGCTTGCTCAGTGATTTTGGGGTCAGGGAGAGAGACGCCGAATGGAAAGGGGATGCGGGAGCGTGGTAGAGAAAAGCTAACAGAGACCATGAAAAAATAATGAGAGATACAATGTCAAATAGGAGAGAGAAGCAGAAAATGAAGGAAAAGTGGAAACTGAATGGGAAAGATAAGGAAAAAATGGAAATGTGGAACGAAGAAGGGAGGCTAATAATACAAGAGGAAAATGATAACGATAAATTGCAGAAAGGAGAGAAAAAAGAGAGGGAGTGAAAGAAGAGAGAGATACAAGAAAGGAAAGTGGGTGGGGTGGGAAGGAGAGCTGAGTGAGGGACTGAAGGGCAGATGTGTGCCAAAAACACAAGGGGTGGGCAAAGGGGGGAGCGGGCAGTGTTTAGATCTAGGATTAATCCCAAATTCCTTGTTGTTAAATTGTGCTGTATTGGGATAGTCTGTCCCCCCCATCTCCCTGGAAGTCAATCAAGTTCCCCTTTTCTGGCTGCAAACCCGGCAAACAAATTAGGGTGAGAACCTTTTCTGTAGTGGCTTCTCCCACCCTGAACATGCTCATTATATTCCACTGCAAATGTATGGGGTTAAAGAGAACACCATGCGAGAGAGGAAGCACAGGAGGAGATGGGCTCAGCCAGCCATCCGGAGGGAAATGACTTCAGAGGAGCAAATCAACTCATTAGCATGCAGCTTGGGACCCGGTGTGATTTTTAATGGGAATAATGTCCATCTGTGTCTTTGTTCAAACAGGTCATTAATGTGCCATGCTACTAAACTTCAGTAAACGTCGGGCAGCATGATCACTTCCTTGGAAACACTGACTTAAATCTGCGTGGCCAGCCTTTGGCATATAAATTGTCTAATCGTCTAAAAGGTTTAGAGTATATAACCTGCTGTGTAGGTTACAATGGAATATATATACTGCAGACAATTTATTTTCATCCGTTACGTAAAAGTCCTGTAGTGTTTAGTAGGGTTGAAACCAACAGAGGCTCTGTAGGAATTAAGTGGGGCTGTTCTAGGAATTAAAGGCTCTGATTCAGCAAGGTATTTAAGCACATGCCTACATTTAAGCATGGGAGCAGTCCCATTGAATTCAAAGTTAAGCAAGTGCTTATGTACCTTGTGGAATTGGGACCTAGGTGAGACTCTAGAAATTATTCTAAAAAGCTATAGAATTTAATAACAAATATTATCCCCTGGGCCTCAGAATTCCTATAGAAAGGTCACTCTCTTGAGGACCCTTCCCTAAGGGATATGATAGCTTTCATTTCCCAATCCTGAAACAATAGCAGCATTTACAATAAATGACACTGTCCTTGGACCATTGCTTGTCCAACTGGATGTTAAAACCAATAGGGAAAAAATGGTTCTCATTAAACTCTGAGGATAGACAAGAAGCAATGGGCTTAAATTGCAGCAAGAGAGGTTTAGGTTGGAGATTAGGAAATACTTCCTTACTGTCAGGGTGGTTAAGCACTGGGATAAATTGCCTAGGGAGGTTGTGGAATCTCCATCATTGGAAGTTTTTAAGAGCAGGTTAGACCAACACCGGTTAGGAATGGTCTAGTTATTACTTAGTCCTGCCTTGGGTGCAGGGAACAGGACTAGATGACGTCTCGAGGTCCCTTCCAGTCCTATGATTCTAATTGCAAAGTTTCACTAGTTTCACTTATAGTGCAGAAATGTTGGATTTCTTAGTGGAAAAATAGAAAGTGTCTTGTCCGTTTCCTCTTTGTAGGTGATGAACATCCGCAAAGTCCTGAACAGAATTGAGAAACCGCAGGGCCTGTATCCTAACTTTCTCAGCCCGGTCACTGGGAACTGGGTACAGCGTAAGTATCGCTCTCTCATTCCGAGCTGTGCTCAGGAAATGCTACTGATGCATTTCAGAATTTACGCTGTTCTTTAGAAGGTGATTTGTAACTGCAAGAACAGCGAGCCAAGGAAATTTCTCATCTGCCTGATAAAAGCCCTCACTAATGCTGGGCAAGGAACTCATTAGCCATGGTGATTAGATAAAGGTAACCTTATTGAGAAGATGCAGTATAATCATCTTTCACAGGAATCTTATTCCCAGCTGAGTATCTTCCCTCCAGAGTGAGGGTTAGGACCCATAGTACTACACATGGTAGGATTATGCTACATGATTCATTAAAAATTGGCATGTCTCTTTAAGGCCCCCATCCTCTCTTCAGTGATCCCATTGTCCTCCCTGGGAGTTACACATGAAAGCTACAGGATGAGACCAAAGAGATTTGGTTAGTAACTATATTTAATGCAGCAAGTAAGAAATCACCTGGAGAAGCAGTAAGAGAGTGGAGTTTGAGATCCTCCCCAGAAAACAACATGGGGAATATAAGGACTGAAGGAAGCCTGCTCTGCTATCCCTCTAGCCAATCTCATACATGCACTAACGCATCCATGACTGTGGTACTTGCTGTTGGATTTTCCTATTGATGCAATGAGTGGGATGCGTGTGTGTGTCTGTCTGTCTCTTGCATCACTATTAGGAATGCAACACTGGTCCGGGGGAAAATACAGGTGTGCAAGAGGGAGGAACATGCGGGATCATGAGCACAGTAGAACAGTGTCTTTATTCTGATCCTGCCTCTTCCTAAGCCACTTCACCCTTCCAATATCCAGAGAAAAGGCCGGGCTACGTCTGTTCTGTTGTTCAAAGGCAAAATCTTGCTCTCCAGTTTGTACGTCAATCTTGACGCCTATGTTCCACTTCTCCCCATTTGTGCAGAGCCCTTCCTCTGCCCTTCCCACCCTGTTACATTACTGGTCTGACAGCAGAATTTCACTCAAGGCATTGCTATTTACAATAAACCAGGAAGTAAAGTAGAGGCTGCGTTTAATTTGGCCTCCTCCATGGATTCAAAATGGTCCCAATTAAGCAAAGTTCATTGAAACAGTTTTTGCCTCATGTCTCTGCAACTCTGTTCGGTCCCCTGGACCACGTGTGACCTTTCTAAGCACTATATTAGTAGCGCTAATTGTAATTGACAGGGCAGTTGCACAGCTGCCATTGTATGAGACAGCTGAGAGAGCACTAGCGGTGATCAATCCCTGACCTTTAATTGCCCTAGCAACACCTCTTAACAGTAATTGACAAGGCTTGTGTTGAAAATAGTCCCAGCAAAACATCTTGAACAATTACAATTGTCCCAGTAAACCAGAACTTCAGTGAGGTCAGTTCCCCGGTTCGTCCCATTAATTGACTTTCTGAATCATCCCCATCCGCTTGTAAGTGGCTTCACCTGTCCCTTCACATTTGTGTTCGCAGAGTTATTGCAACGTTTCCACTTCAAAAATTAAGCTTACCTCCTAGTGCTACATCCTTGTGATGATATTTTCTTTAGGTCATTACCGTTTGCATCAGCATGGTACAAACCAGACAAAAGTGCTAGTCCTGCCTGCTTTGCAGCACAGAGGGGGGGAAATAATGTGACTCACATTTGTCAGTGTTTCATTCTGATAACTGGTTGCCAATGCATCACTTCCCAAAGAGCTGCGTCCATATTCTTCTAAGTGTAAGTGACTAGATTTAAGTGTGTAGAATACCTTCCATGTATTCAGTGTTAATCCATTTTGGCCACCAATTCGGTTCCATTTAAATCCACTCATTTAATTCATTTTAGGCATCCTGCTCCCATCTTTTGTGATGTTTGTGGGGATCCCCAGAGGTTTGCTGGGGCACCACGCTGGTTAATAACTGCCCCTGTTTAGATGGTTTGGAGTGAGCTGGAGGCATAGTTGGCGCCACAGGACTAGAGAAAAATTCACCCGTTGGCTAAGCCAGGAGCTGGCTTGATGGCACCTCAAACTGCTTCTGGTAGTAGCACGTAAGCTGGCCTCGTGATCCGAATCTGATATCCAGGGAGCCGAGAGACTGCTCAGCCTAGGAACTCGCTGATGGACCTAAGAGTCAGCTGGTGGCAGATGCCAAGGTAGAGAGAGACTGTAGCTGTTGCCTGCCACAGGGACTATCATAGGTGCCAGTCTTTCATTTTCTTTCTCTTGGTTAAAGCTGTTTGCAATAAGCCCTTTTTCTTAGAATGGTCATGTTTTCCCTAAAACCAGAGCAAATGATCAGACCACCCCAATGAGAAGGAATGCTGGCGCTCTGCTAGCTGCAGTAGTTAGCTTTTGAAAATTAAAGCACAGCCTCCCTGCTGAAATTAATGGCTTGTTTACACACGGAGCCTGGGAGGCAAATTCTGGCCTTGCTTTTAACATGTGGAAAACAATTCTGCCCCAGTGCTCTTCTTTTGGTGATTGTTCTGACACGCCTAGGCTTATACACCTTCCATTTAAAGACAATCTGAAGCCTGTATTTGTAAAATATTCTATCCTCTTTCCCGAATCTGGGTTTCGAATCTCATTGTTTTGCCATGGATTATTCTGCGGTTCATTGGCCACATACTTTATCAGAGATGTTGCTCTTCAGGTCAGTCAAATGCGTGGCTGTTGATCTCTCTTCTAGATAGGATTTAGTATTCAAAATAAACCTCAGGACTTGATATGCACACACAGAAAAGTGGAAAAACAGAATAGCTAATCCGAAAAACGTACTGTATCTACTTAATGTTTAAAATGAAATCATGCAGACATGGAGGTGGGTAACCCTGGCTAATAGGTCTAGTCCGTTCCGTATTTAAATGGCTAGGAGAAGTATTTTTTCTTGCTCATTTGAAGGGTGAATTTGGCTGCTCCAAAGAAGTAGGGTTGGGTTTTCCCCCTATTGCATTTTAAAGATGTAAATCTGTCCTGCTGTTTCCCATGCTGATTCCCCCAGGCAGAAACCTGCAGCTGCGCTGTCAGACCTGCTTCCCATAGTGATGGCTTAGCATTCGCCTCTTCAGTAAGGTCATACCACTGTGTAGTCTGAGCCGGCAGCCTTGGAAATCTGATTTCCCCACAAGTAAATATTCAGTGCACATCTCCCCACCTGGCTTTATTTTTATATACCAGAAACCTAGGACTTCCGCATGCAGGCTGTATCACACTCCAGAAACCGCTAGTCCCCTTTAGCAGCCAGGGTGCCCTCTGCTGGCAGTTCTGTCCAATCATCCTTTTTGTGCTGCAATGCCGATATCCAATTCGTATTCTCCCCTTCTTCCGTTTGTTACACTCCCTCTCCAGGAGGGGATCGAGTGAGAGGTAGGGCCACATCCTCAAAGGTGGTTAGGTGTCTAACTCCCATTATTTTCAATGAGCGTTAGGCACCTAAATATTTTGAGAATCTGGCCCGTGATGTCCAGTGGACATGCATAGTTGCAGATTCATCCATGTATGTGTCTGCTCTCAGTTTGTTAGCCCAGGATATGGTTTTTATCTCATAAACAGGAAGCGTCTTCAATTTATCATGTAAATAACCCTGGCAAGTAAAAGCTTTGAGTAGTTTTATTAAGGGTACGTGGTAAAAGACCATTTTAACTGGCACGTGGTAGAAGACCAAATGTTTTCCTTATGGTTACACTTTCCTTCGTAATTTTCTAAACAATTTAATGCTAGCTTCCAAAAGAAAACCGAAAAGGGGGCAGAAATGAGTTAAGCTATTTAATAAGGGCGGAATTGTTCTGACTGGTAAAGCGACTGTGCATCGTAAATAGGGTGACCAGATGTCCCGATTTTATAGGGACAGTCCCGATTTTTGGGTCTTTTTCTTATATTGGATCCTATTACCCCCCACCCCCTGTCCCGATTTTTCACACTTGCTGTCTGATCACCCTAATCGTAAATCGTGTGCAAAAGTAGTTATGCAGCAATCTCTTGTTGGCTTCCACCATTGCAGATCACGTCTCCGTTGGAGGTCTGGGGGACAGCTTTTATGAATATCTGATCAAATCCTGGCTGATGTCAGACAAGAGAGACACTGACGCCAGAAAGATGTATAATGATGCACTAGAGGTAAGTTTGATTGCTTCTGCAGCTGTATTTCTTATAAGGAATATTTTGTCCAACAGAATGTTAGTCAAAGCAGTTTGTTTTTCCTTCCTGCAAGATGTGTTCAGATATTGATTTTTAATACATTTTAGGCTATAGAAAAACATTTGGTTAAAAAATCTGCCGGAGGATTGACCTACATTGCAGAATGGAGAGGTGGCATCTTGGATCACAAAATGGGCCATTTGGCTTGCTTCTCTGGTGGCATGATAGCCCTTGGAGCAGAACAAGCAGCGGAAGAGAAAAAGCAACATTATCTGGATCTAGCTGCAGAGATTACTCACACGTGTCATGAATCTTATGCACGCTCAGGTAAACATTGTGGATTAAAGTACTGCTGATAAATTACTGTGGTAGGTAAGGATTTACAGCCGCTAAAAAAATGAATCTCGCATGCGAAAGGATTGCAGTAATTCTTTGGCACTTCTGCAGCATCTTCCATCAAAATAAGAGGGCTTTTAACATTCATCTGTCCTTGCCGCACCCCTGTGAGAAAAGTCAGTATTGGTATCCCCCTTCTAGATAGGGAAACTGAGGCATAGAGAGGCTGAGTGACTTACGCAAAGTCATACAAGAAACCAGCGGCAGGGCTGGTAACTGACCAAGACCTACTGAACCCCGGTCCTGTGCTCTAATCACAAAGCCACGCTTTCTGCCTATAAAAGGAGTAATCTGTGTTCCTGTATATCAGCACTTTGAGGTATTGCCATAACAAATGGAGTAAAGCACTGATCTGCCTTTAATTCCTCCCACCATATACAACTGAAACAAGCTAAATGGGCAGTTGAGCATTGTGTAAGGTATTAGACACAGGGAATTGAGTTCTGTTATTCCTTCTTAAAACTAACCCAAACCATAAATCCCTACTGCAGCCTTCCTAAGAGAAGATTGCATAAGTCTCTCCATATTTCCCCACATTCAGTAAAATCTTTCTCATTCACATAGTGTTCTTCACAAACAACATGTGTTGAATATTTGTTTTCACGGAAGGCATTCAATGCAGGCATATAAAGACTAACCATGCTAACAACAGGACAAATGTGGCGATCCCTTGGCAAGTCACAGTTCAAGCTAGAAGTGCTTGTCTTAAATGTGGATAATGACATTCATCTCCTTTATAAAGCACTTTGAGATCCACAGATGAAAGGCATTTATAAAAGTGCCAGGTATTGGTATTATTATAGTGTGTAATTTGGCAAGATCATATAATCAAAAAGATGCTGATGATAATTCAAGGGCTGTGGTTAGCTCTACACACATCCCAGCTTCAACATGCTTGTAATTATTTGGTCTTTGTTCCTTTCTTTATGAGCATTTGTCTAGCACATCTGAGTATATGTAGTTGCAGTCTGCTGTCCAGGAGGCTCGCCTGCAATGTGCCTCTCTTTGATAACTGTTCCTTTTGATTGTTTTACGGCTTAACTGCATCAACAAGCACATATTTATGAGCTGCGTCTAGTTCATTTGCCTAAAGCAGCTCTAACAAACTTCAAGCCAAGCTGGAATTGTATTTTCAAACTCTTTCCACAGCACTTGCAGAACTGCAGCTAGGCCGTCTGAGCTAACAACCTGCAGGCTGCAACTGCCTGGAGCCATTTTTCACCTTCAACTGTATCCGTCACCATCAAAAAGACAGCACTAAGCCTGCCATTAGCAGCGACCCTCCTGTTGTATCAGCCAGCTCGCAGTGTTTCAGATAGCGGCTGTGCACTTAACCTTTTCCCTGGTTCTCAGGAAACAATGCGAGTTGTTTGTGCTGTAATTTCCCTGTTCTCTCACTCTTATAACATGGCCCAGGTAGGGCAAATAAGGTGTGTAAAGAAACCAAGTGTGTATGTGAAAGGTAGTCTTTTGGCTACAGCACCAGCCATGGGGCCAAGATATCTGGATTCTGTTTCCAACTCTGTCATTGGTTCGGCTTGATCTCCGGCAATCTCTGTGCCTCAATTTCCCCGTCTGTAAAATAGGGGTGATAATTTTCTAATTCATAGGGATTCTGAGAGTGTGTGTTTATTCTGAGATCCTCACATGGAAGGCACTTGAGAAGGACAAAGCAGTAGTAGGTTTCAGAGTAGCAGCCGTGTTAGTCTGTATCCGCAAAAAGAACAGGAGTACTTGTGGCACCTTAGAGACTAACAGATTTATTAGAGCATAAGCTTTAGTGGACTACAGCCCACTTCTTCGGATGCATATAGAGTGGAATAAATATTGAGGAGATATATATACACACATACAGAGAGCATAAACAGGTGGGAGTTGTTTTACCTAGTT